GGACAGAGACCCAAAGAGAGGAGGACAGAGGCCCAAAGGGGGGGACAGAGGCCCAAAGGGGGGGACAAAGGCCCAAAGGGGGGGGACAGAGGCCCAAAGACGGGGACAGAGGCCGGGTGCAGTGGCTCACGCTTGTAATCCCAGCACTTTGGGAGGCTGAGGCGGGCAGGCAGATCACGAGGTCAGGAGATTGAGACCATCCTGGCTAACCTGGTGAAATCCCATCTACTAAAAATACAAAAAATTAGCCAGGCGTGGTGGCAGGTGCCTGTAGTCCCAGCTACTTAGAAGGCTAAGGCAGGAGAATCCCTGGAATCCAGGAGGTGGAGGTTACAGTGAGCGGAGACTTCACCACTGCACTCCAGCCTGGGTGACAGAGCGAGACTCCATCTCAAGAAGCAAAAAAGGGGGGACAGAGGCCCAAAGGGGGACAGAAACCCAGAGAGAGGGGGACAGAGACCCAGAGAGGGTGGCAAAGATGTAGAAAGGGGAGACAAAGAATTGGGAGAAGAGGAGACAAAGACCCAGAAGGAAGGGGACAGAGACTGAGGGAGAGCATGTGACACAGATGGGGCAGGCCAGACAGATCCAGAGCGCCTCAGAGATTCCAATGAACTCCCCCTCTCTCTTCTCAGCCCCTTGGATCTCCCTCCGTGGAGACGATGCCGGGGCCCTCCTGCCCACCCCGGGGGAGGCCCAGGATGCTGACTGGAAGGATGCAAATGTGACCCCAGCCACTGCCTGACCATCCACCTTCTGACCGCTAACAGTGAATGCAGTCAGGCTCCCTTCATGCTGTGAGATCTCCTGGAACACTGGCATCTCTGAGCCTCCGGAAGGAGTCCTGGGCCCAGTTGTCCTCTGGAGCCCTGTCCTGTGGTCTGCCTCAGTTTCCCCTCCTAACACACGGCTGTTTTCCACTTTGACAATATAACACGAGTTTAGGCCCGAATCAGTGTGTTCTCATCATTTTTCAGGCAGGGGAGGTAAGAGAATGAATGGGGACTGAATGGCTGGGCCTCAGAGCTCTCCTGCTGGTAACATGCCGCCATGAGGAACCTGCCGGTTTTATACTTCACGTCATGTATTTTCTTTTTTTGTTTTTGAGACAGAGTCTTGCTCTGTTGCCCAGGTTGGCATGCAGTGGTGTGATCTCGGTTCACCACAATCTCTGCCTCTTGGGTTCAAGTGACTCTCCTGCCTCAGCCTCCCGAGTAGCTGGGATTACAGGCATGCACCACCACACCGGCTAATTTTTTGTATTTCGTAGAGACAAGATTTCACCATGTTAGGCTGGTTTTGAACTCCTGACCTCAAATGATCTGCTCGCCTTGGCCTCTCAAAATGCTGGGATTACAGGCATTGAGCTACTGCACCTGGCCCAAGGCCATGTATTTTTTTTATTTTTTATTTTTTTATTTTTGAGACGAAGTCTCCCTCTTGTCCCCCAGGCTGGAGTACAGTGGCGCAATCTTGGCTCACGGCAACCTTTGCCTTGTGGGTTCAAGCCATTCTCCTGCCTCAGCCTTTCGAGGAGCTGGGATTACAGGCGCCCACCACCACACCCGTCTAATTTTTGTATTTTTAGTAGAGATGGGGTTTCACCATGTTGGCCAGGCTGGTCTCGAACTCCTGACCTAAGGTGATCCGCCCGCCTCTGCCTCCCAAAGTGCTGGGATTACAGGCGTGAGCCACCGCTCTTGTCCGGCCATGTATTTTCAATTCATAAATTTTACAAATATTTACTGGATGACTCCGTGCCAGGCATTTTGAGGAATTATCGGCTAGTATCTAACCACCTGAATCCTTGGAGCAGAAGAGGAGTGAGGAGCACTGTTCCCTCTGGGAGGAAATAGGATGTTTCCCCTGGCCCCTTGATTCGGCTCTTCCTTTTTTTTTTTTTTTTTTT